CCGGGAAACCCTGGGAAGGATTGGGCCTTAAGGATTACAGGCTTCAATGCTGCTTGGCCTGAGACCGCCCCCTGCCTTTCTCAAGCCCAAATTTAATTCAGTGAGCATGCTTGTCTTGTGCCATATGCTGTGCTCATCGCTGGGGAGGCCGACATGAAAAAACCTAGTGCTGACCTTCAGGGTTTTCTCACCCGGAGCTGGGTTTCTCAACCCCCACGCTATCCACAGTTTGAGCTGCATAATTCTTAGTTGTAGGGACTGTCCTGTTCATTGTAGGAGGCTTAGCAGCAGCCCTGGCCTCTACTCACTACTAGACGCCAGTGGCAGCCTCCTACCCACCCGTGACAACCAGAAATGTCTCTAGAAATTGCAAGACATCCCCTAGGGGGCAAAATTGCCACTGGTTGAGAACCACGGATCTAGTGTGGATGACACAAGGCAGGCAGTAAAAAAAACAAAAAAACAAACAAAAATGAAAACTAAACTAATTTCTATGGGGCTGAGTAGAGATGGGAGTCCTATGTGCCTGAATGGGTCAGAGACGGCTTCCTGAGATGCACCTGTCCTTGAAATTCACAGGTCCCTCAAGGTTCTTTTCACTCTCAGGCTTAGCCTGGGTGATCTCATTCATCCTGTGGCTTCCAAGATCTATTTCCAGCCTAGAACTCTGAGAGTAGGCCCAGTCATGTCTGCACAACTGCCCAAAGGGCACCCCCAACTGCAGGTCCCACCAGCATCTCATGTGCACTCTGCCCACAGCTGGTGTCCACCTCTTCTTTGAAAGCCCTGCTCCTCGCACAAGCCACACAGCCTCCCAAGTTAGAAACAGGGACTCTCCCTGCCTCCCATGTCCATGAAGTCTCCCAGCCCTGCCTGTTCTACTCACAAGTTCTCCTCTACTGCCCAGGCCCAGCCACCAGCCGTGCTGGACCCCGCCTTCCCCACCAACCTATTGTCCACCCGGCCGCAGGGGGAGGTGTCTGAAAGCAAATGGCGCCATGCCTCTCCCCTGATGAACACCTTCCAGTGGTCCCACTGCTCTCAGGATGAAGTCCAAGCTCCTCCTGTAGCCTTCAAGACCCACAGGACCTGGCTTCCGCCCACCTCGCTGGCCTCATTTCCTGTAACTCCCATGCCCACACCCACAACCCAGGCTCCACATGTGCCACTTCAGCCAATTGAACTTGCAGTTCCTCTAATATTCTCTTCACCTCCAAGGCCTTGGTACCCTGCGCCCCTTGGCTTGGGGCCTCCTTTTCCTGTTCCCACCCCAACCCCTTTCTTCGCTAGCTAGTTGCCACTCAAACCTGTAGGTCTCTGTTTAAAATTCACTTCCTCCTGGAAGCCTCGGCTGCCCACCCCTCCATTGGCTCTTATCATGGCTTATGAGAATTGTTTGATTGTCTCCTTCCTGGGACCACCAGGCTTTTCTCTGCTGGGATCCTGTCTGCTTGGTCACCATTGTTTCTGTAACCTTTAGCACGATGCTGAGCACATAGCAAACACTTCATATGTATGTGTAACTCTGTATTTTAAACTGGATAGCAAGTAGATGGATGGTCAGACAGACAGACGGATGGGTGGATGCAAGCAATAGGTACCATTTGGGTTGAGTCTTGAATGCGTTGAAAAGCTCTCCAGGGGAATGGCATTCAGGTAGAAGGGAGTGTGGGGTTGGAGGCACAGTGGGAGATAAAGGAGGATGCAGACGGATTACAAGGACCTTGAATGTCACGGTGCAGAGTCTGGACTTAATTCAGTAGGCGATGGGGAGCCATGGAAGGGTTTTAATCAAGCAAGTGACATGATCCCACCTGCGTGAGAGAAAGAGCGCTTTGGCTGCAGCAGGGTTTGCGGTGGGGAGGGGACCAGAGGCTGGGAGGCCAGGAAGGAGGCTGCCACAAAGCTTTAGGGACAGCCACGGAGGTCTGAGCCAGAGCAGGGATCATGGGATGGAGGGGAGGGGACAAAAGTAGAGGCCAAGGGTGAAATGAATCTGGGGGAATCTAGAACATGTTCTAGCACCCCAGTCACATGCAAGAAAAACCAAACAGAGGAACAGACGCTTCAGGTCTTTGGGAACCAAGGGACACAAAGGGACAATAACAATAGCCATACCGCTTCATTTATGGAGTGTCCTGTGTGCCAGGCACTGTGCTAAGCACCACACATACTCATGCACATTTCATCTTCACAACAACCCGATAAAGTAGGTGTTATTTTTTTCCGCTGCATTTCACAGAGGAGGAAACTGAGGCTCAGAGAGGCGAAGTACCTTGCCCGAAGTCACATAGCCTTCGAGTCACAAATCTGGGCTGGTCTGACCCCAGTGCTCATGCTTTAAATCAGCTGTTCATCTTACACAAAGGAGGGAGCTGGTAGCAAGTGGATGGCTGAAGACTCCTGGGTCTGATGAGGAAGCAGGAAGTTCCCAGCCTAGTCCCAGTGGGATAGCAGAAAGAGGCCTGCTGATGGGAGCACAGAAGGAAATAGAGGGGAAGAGGGGAATCCCTCTAGGTCCCTGCACCTCATGTGTTCAGACCCAGACTCACCTATTCAGAAAGGTGTGTCCCTGCTGTAAGAGAACTGGGCTAAGGAGTGAACTGTGTGTAGATCCTCAACCCCAGTTGGGCTGCCTTTGTGGGAATTAAAGAAAGGCATCCTCCTCTGGGGGCAGTAGCCCCACAGGCCCATGGCTGAGCATATGAAGGCTTTTTTTGCAAATTAGAGAAAGGTGCCCTTTCCTCCAGGACACAGCCTGGCTTTAGAGCACCTGATTTGTGGAGTGGAGCTTAAGGTGGATTTCAGGTCCTACTCTCCTCCTGCACTGAGTCCCCTTGGACAGTCAGCAACCTGCCTAACTGTACATGCCAACCATGCCTCCAGCCCCCCTGTCCTGTACCCGTTTCCCAGGAGCCGCTCTGCCCCATCTTCAACGAGACAAATGTTTCCTCTGGCAGATACACAGAGCTCAAACCATTCCACAGACATGAGTTTCTTGTTAGTCCTTGCTTCTGCCATAAAAGACGATTATGCCCATCGCTCTGTTGAAAAAGTTGAGGTCAGAGCCTTTCCTGATGGTGGGAAAAAAAAAATCTAGGCTTTCTTTAGAGAGACCTGTATCAAAAGCACAAGGTTCCAGGAAGCAGAGGCCTATAGTCAAGAGCTCCATCTTAAGGGCACTCTGAGAAGTCCAGGGGGGTGGAGGGTGTGCCCACCCTCGCTGGGGGCACGAGGCTTCTCTCCCTGAGCCTGGCCTGAGGCCTGGGTCTCCTCTCAGCCTGACAGGGGTGATTCTCCTTCTTGTTCTTTTGGGTTAGCTCCAGGATGGGATGGGGGAAAGCCCCCAGCCCTGAGGCCCCAGCCCAAGCCCCCTCCTTAGGGTCTCCTCTTCCTCAGGAGCCGTCTGACCCCATCCTCAGTTCCCACCCCCTCCCGAGCTGAGCTGCACAGGCTGCCGCCTGAGTTATATAAACAGGAATCATCTCTCTCTCTCAGAATACCTGAGGCTGCATTTCAGAATGGAGCTCCCTGATGGAAGAAAAAAAGGGGGGGGGGGAGACACAGAGAGAGGAGAGGAGATTTAATTGGCTGACTCCTGTCGCCCATGTGGTAAATAACGGACTGCTCCAAACTTTGCTAACTCGGAGGAGACTGGCTCTCCCGGGGACCCTGCCCAGCGTCAGCCCAGCCCCCTCTCGGTGGGCTTCGGAACGCAGCCCTCCTGCAAAGGCCTCAGAAAAATCAGAGCCTCGGGAAGCAGAGCGGCCAGAGAACTGGGAATCCTGCCTCCAGGCACAATTATTCCAGACCCCCAGAAACGTCCCGAGATCACAGCCACCCCTCCACACACACACATGTTGTAGCAGGGCAGTGACTTGCCCGGGGTCACACCCCACCTTTAGGGGCCATGCTGCGTCCTCAGTGTCATTATTTAGGTTTCTCCACCAAAGACATTTCGACAGCTTCCCCTGGCCCTGGCCCCTGGGAGCGTTGGGGGTCTAAGATAGACACCTCCTCCTGCACTGAAGCAGGCGTCTCACTCTGCTTGCAGTGGGAAAGAAACTGCTCCAATTCCCCTCTGATTTGCTCAACTTATAAGGAGAAAGGGGAGGCCTGGAAGTCAGGACACCTGGGTTCCCATTCCAACCCTAGATATAGCTTATTGAGTGACCCAGGCCTCTTTCGGATACTTTAACATGGAAAAGAGGGATGCCCAGGAGGTCACTAATGTGCTCCATCAGGCGCCTCCAGGAGCCAGCTGAGGGCCAATCAGGGGGGCCAGCTGCCCCCAGGTTGAGAGAGACGTGGCTGGCTTTGCCCAGGGGGGCTGGCAGGGGTGGTCCCAGAAGGGCATGCACACACCCCCAGGAAGCAGTGTTTAAATGTCCACAATGGCCTTCCCTTCCAGAGGAACCGAAGAAGAGCATCCCAGACACTGGGAATTGGAGAGAAAGAAACAGGGGTGGGGTGGAGAAGTGGCTGGAGCAGGGACAGGGGTAAGGAAGAGGTGATTGCTGCAGAGAGAAACTGAGGCAGGCAGGATGGAAGGTGGGTGGAGGAGGAAATGGTCATAGATGGGCCTAGACAAAGGATGCGATTGTGGATACAGAGGCCAAAGTCCAAAAAGGGCTGTAGAATAGGAATAATGAAAGGGGACAGAGTGGGCATTGACAGACAAGTTTAGGGGGAACTAAGGAGGGACAGAGGGCATAGTGGTTAGGGAGTAGCCATAGGCTACAAGGCCATGGTGAGGTGGAGACAGGGTAACGGCGCTGACTAGTGGGGTAAGAAGATTGGATCCAGAACCCCGCTGGAGGTGTCCACAGAGGGCTGGCAGCTACCCAAACCCTCGAATGCGCCACTGCCTGTGCTGGGGGCACGATGACCAGCCCCAGGGACCCGGAAACAGTTTGACTCAGACCCACGGAAAACGGAGTTGGCTCGCCCAACCCCTGGACAAGAGTGGTGGGAGAGAAGGCAAGAGGCTTCCCGGAAGCATGAGGGTTGGAAGCGTTCCGCCGGCTTCAAGCGGCGGCTCCTCTGCCCACCACCAGGGGGTGCCCCCGCGGCTCGGGGAGACCTCGAGGGACTCCGGGTTAGCTCCTCCCGCTGCAGCCCCGGCTGGTGGTCTGCAGCCGCGCCCCAGCTGGGGCAGGGGCCTGACAGCGCCAGAGAAGAGGGAGAGGGGAGGTCAGGTACGGAGGCGCGAGTGAGACAAGTCCGGACGGTGCCACCGCGGGCCGCCCAGCATCCAGCGCGCCCACACAATCCATGCCTCCCCTTTCAGCGCCCCGGCCCTCGAGAGTCAGTCCCAAGTGGCGCTCCCTTTGGACGTGAGGCCGTCGGGCCCTGCCCTTCCTTCCTCCGTAGAGGGTACGGTGTGCCCATAGCCGGGTCCTCGGGAAGACGGCAGCGCTGCCCCTCGTTCTCTGCGGGTCTGCCCGACGGCCCGAGGGCAGCGGGGTCGAGCTGCTGGGGATGGCGGGGGTCCCCGTGGGCCAGCTCCGCTCTTCCCCCATAGATGGCCGCAGCCGTGCGTGTCGCCGCGGTTCGAATCGGCCTCTGGGTGCCCCCGGACACCACGCGACCTCGCATACATATAACCGCGCGCACACGCTCACGCCGTGCGGTATTTCCCAGCCCCGGACCCCGCCTCTGGGAGGGGCCCGGTAGTCGAGCCCCAGTAGCAAGGGGTGGGGGGCTCCGGGAACACCGGGGTCCCGGCCCCGGGGTAGAGGCCGTGCGCCCTCTCCCCAGACCCTTTCCGTGCCCAGGTTTGGCCCCCCCCCGCTCTGTTACCCCTCGGCCCGCGGGGGTCCCAGAGGCTCCTGGGCGCGCAGCGGGCGGGGTTGGGGGGCGGGTGGGGGCCGCGGGCTCCGGGCCGAGAGGCGGTTCAGCTCTGCGCCGGGGAAAGTTTGGACGTGGGAAACTCCCTCCCTACCCGCCCCGCCGAGAGGAGGGGGCGCGCGGGGGCCAGGCGCCGGCACCCCGGCTACCCCTGCGGCGGGAGGCTCGCCCCCCCCAAGCCGCCGCCTGCCGGCTGCTCCAGCGGGCCAGGGGGCTCCCTCCTGGATGGGCAGCCTCTCCTCGGCGGCTATCCGGCCGCCCCTCCCGCGGCACCCCGCGCTCTTACCTCGGGGAGCGGCCCGGGGCTCCCCCCAGTCCTGCCGCCTCAGGGCGCTGCGTGGGGCGGGAGCCTGGGCGCCGGCAGGCGGGCGAGTCCGGAGCCCGGCGGCCGCCCGGAGGAGCCAGAGGGAGAGCGGGCGCGAGAGGGGAAGCCGCGGCGGCGTGTGCGCGCGTGTGTGTGAGCGAGGGAGCGAGGGAGTGAGCGAGCGGGAGCGAGGGAGGGTGCGTGTCTGACTAGGGGGGAAGTGTGCAAGGGACGGATCCCTTCCTTCCTCCCGCAGCCTCTGGTGGAGACTCCGAGAATGCAGCGCCCGCCGGGCAGAAGCGCCGCGGCGAGTCGAGCCGCAGGCGGCCACCAGCCCCCGCCCCCAAGCCCAGTACCCCGCAGCTGGGGACCCCCGGGTCCCGCTACCCGGGTCGCGCCCCTCCCCCACCGGGAGGGGCCGGCCTCTCCATCCCACCCGCGGCCCAGTCCTAGGAAACCCCCGGGGGGCGGTGCCCCTCCTTCCTGCAACCCCAGATCAGCGCGAAGGGAGCGCCCCCAGGAGGGGGACCATCTACCTCCCCACCTGACAGCTTCCCTGGGGACCCCAGTTTGAGACCCGACCCTTCTCCACTACCTGACTTTACTGCATCTAAGGTCCCCTATTTTCCCCACTAGTATGGGAGCCCGGCTTCAGAGGAGGGGTGTGCACAGGCGAGGGGGGGGGGCGACTTCTCCAGTGACCGCCCCTGGCTGGCTGCCCAGAAAGGCCCCTGCACAGACCCGCCAGTTTCAGAAACAATCACTGCGTGTTGAGGTGGACAGAGGCCAGAGCCTAGTCTCCAGGGAGGTGAGAGGTCAAGTATCCCAGAAAAAGAACCACGTAGGCTTTTCCTTTTCTTTTTTTTTTGGAGGCGGGGGAGGGGGGGGTCGTTCATGATGGCCATCCCTGCAACCAACAAAGTAAGCAGGCAACACAACCCCATCCTAAATTCAGTGCCACTTTGGCCCACAGGGCCTTCCAATAAACTCCCCCTCCCCCCCATTTCTCCCCCCACACATACCACTACTCAGAAACACCTTCCAGGCTGATTTTCCATTCTTTTTAAAATCCAGGTAGCCCACTGCCAGAGGTCTTTTCTGCTGGGGCCTAGTTTCTTTTTCTTGGCTGCATGGCTTCCTTTTCAGTCCAATCTATCGTTAGGATGGGGCCTAATTGAGAACACCCCTGACCCCTGAGCTCTCAGTATGACATTTTTGATGGTGGGCTAGGATCCCTGACTTCCATAGACCCACCCTTTGTCTTAGGTTGGGAGTCCCCATAGGAGCCCCCCAAAGGGATGTCAGATAGATGGCTGAAGGATAACAGGAGACAGGACTGCCATCTGCCTCTGCCCTGCCATGCTGTCACTGACCAGACACAATGACGTGTGATCAGCTGCTGAAGTTCAGAGCAAAGGGCGAGCAGGCCCTTGGACTCCTGGGGGTCATCAGGGACACAGGCCCTACCTCACTCTCATCCTGCTGCTTCTCATACCCCCTTCCCAAATTTCCATCTTCACCCCCGCACACTGGTCCTTCTCTCATTCTCCCTGGTGATTACAATGGTCTCTCCCACCGGCTGCCCCTCCAGCCCCTCCCATAAAACTCCATCACGCTTTTATTTATTCTGTGATTTGCTCTCCGTGTGCCAGCCTGTTCCGTCCCCCTAAGTCCTTCTCTCAGTTTATTCCCCTTCATTGATCTCTCCCAGCCCTGCCTTTGTGTGGCCTTCCTTCTCCCAGTCTCTTTCTGGTCTCTCTCCTCCCCTCTCCTCTCTATTCTTAGCTTCCACTCTTTCATGCTTTCAGAGACCAGAGGCCAGCCCTTCCAAATGCATCTTCTCACTTTCTGTTCTTGCCTTCCCCTCGGACTCACTTTTGCCACTTGCTCCAGCTCTCCCTCCCTCCCTCTCTCTCCAGACCCTGGTGTGTGCTGTTCATCTCCGGTGTCAGACCTGCTTAATTGTCCACAGGTTGCTCTGGCCTGGGATACTGTTGCTCTCACATTTGCATGTACACGGTAGGTGCTCAATAAATGTTTGTTGAATGAACTACTCACACATCTCTTTATTTTGATCTCTTTTCTCCCCATTGTAGATCTCCTGCCTTTCTCAGCATCTCCCCTTCTCGGACTCACTTCCGCCATTCTTTCTCATTCTTCTTTCCTCCAACAAACCTTCTCTAAGTGTCCACTCTGTGCCAGGTATTATGCGAGGCTCTGAACACACATTGAAGTCACCACCAGCAATTATTGAACACTTGCAATATGCCATGATTTTGCCTTTAAGTTCTCACAATAATCAGATACTGGTAGGAGCCTCATTTTACAAATGAGAAAACGGAGGCAAAGACAAAAGAGCTGGCAAGTGGTGAGCTCAGGTGGGTTCCTGGCACCTGGGCTTGACCTTGCACTCTGGTCTGGGAGAAGGTAAGGGGGGACTTCTGCTGCAGTGTAACAGGTGCAACACGGGGCTGTGTAGTGTGACAGAGCTGGGCAGAGCTGGGCTGAGAGCAGCTTTGCCCCCACATAGGCTGTGAGATATTAGGCAAGCCACTTCCCTCGGCTTTGATGTGCAGATAAAACGATATGATAATAACAGTAGTTAGCATTTAGCAAGCACATGCCATGTGTCAAGCCCCGTGCTCAGTGTTTTGCACGGATTATTTAATTTGATTCTCAAAGCAACCAACTTACAAAGGTATAGGTGAGGAAACTGAGGCACAGAGAAACTATAAACATGCCCAATGTCACACTAAGTGTTTGCAGCAGAGCTGGGAGTCAAACTGAGGCAGCCTGGGGCCAGCCTGCACTCTGAACTGGTGTGCAGTACTGCCCCTGGGCAAGTAACTTGACTAGAGAGTATTGTAGGTGCTTAATTAGAGGTCTGAACCCAAGCACGATTATATTATGAGTGCACAAATAAAGGAGACCACTGCTCTTCCAGTAGTGGGGATGAGATGAGGGTGGATTGGGGGTGGGAGCACGGCTAGAATGATTCAGGAGGAGGGCCTGTGAGAGTCCTCTTTCCGCCTCCATCAGAAGAGAGTTCAGCTGCATCTTGATGCACTGAGCATGCTTTTTCTTTGGAGGAGTCACTGGGTCCATGGGCATTGCCCTTCCTCTAGCCCGGGGTTCCTCCACCCTGGCACTAAGTGCCATTTTGGGTCAGACAATTCTTTGCTGTGGGGGCTTTCCTGTGCATTATATAACACCATCCCTGGCCTCTACCCACTAGATACCAGTAGCACATCACAGCCCTCCCCCTAAGTTGCGACAACCAAAAGTGTGTCCAAACACTGCCAAATGTCCCCCCGAGAAACAAATGTACCCCATTCAAGAACCACTGCTCTATCCTGAATGCCTTAATAGCAGGGTCTGCTCCGGGGCGACTCAAGAGTTTGAACAGGTGTCAGTGAAGGGCACGGACAGGCCGGCTGCTCTCAGCTCCAGGCTCTGCCACCCTTCCTGCCCTTCTCTCCTTTTCTGCACTGGCTCACCCCATGGCCAGGGGCACAGGGGCTCACTTCTCTCTGTCCTCACTTGCAGCCCTGTCTCTGTCTTTCTATCTCCTTGTTCATCTCTTTACACCTGTCGGTTGCCTTCTCACCCACTGTCCACTTGTCTCCCTTTCTCAGCTCCCTCCACCTCTGTCTCCTCCTCTCTTGGGTCTGTTTCTGGGTCCTCTGACTCATTCTCTCTGTCTCCTTATTTGCCTCTTTCTCCCTGTCCCTCTATTCTTCTGTCTCTTTCTCTTCATTCATTTCCTTCTCCATTTGGCTACCCCCCCCATTCTCTCTGTCCCCCTCGCTCTGTGTCTTCCTGTCTCTGTTTGTCCCCTTCCTCAGTCTCCCCTTCACCTGCCCCACTATGACTGTCTCTGTCCCCGTCCTCCCCTCCTGCTCTCCCTCCCTCCCTTTTCCCTTTCCACCCTCCTCTCCCACACTTCCTTCTCCCTCTTCCCCCCCCCTTACTTCCTAGCCTCCATCCTCCCCCTCTCCCCCCCTTCCTCTATTCCCCCCCTACTTCCCCCTCCTCTCCCCGCCTCCCTCCCTCCTTCTTCCTCTGCCTGCTTTGTCTGTGGGAGCTGGAAGTTAAAAGCTTTTCCGAACTTGCTCTCCAGTCGCTGTTCCCTGCGCTTTCATCTCGCCAGCACATTTGTAAAACTGCGCAGACTGAAGGGCCGTGACATCAACAACCAAAGAAATGTCAGCACGGGGACTGGGCCGCCAGCCTGCAGGCGGGTGGGGGTGGGGGTGCAGTGTGGGGCAGTCAGCGCACACCTCAGCCCTTCCCAGGAAGGGACCAGTGATGGAAACAGAGATAGAAAGACCCCCACGAGGAGTTTCAAGTGCTCTGTACCTCTGGCAACCCTGCTTCCTCTGCCCTGGCGACCAGAGCACAGGGGGGGGTGTGTGGTGGGGGGAGCAGATGCCCTGGAGGAGGGGAAGGCCACCCAGCCTGGGAGAAACCCCCACGGGCTGCAGGTGAGGGGAGCAGCCAGCCTGCGGGGAGCCACATGCCACCAGAGCCTGCTGGGCACTTGAACACCTCACTGAGTTCACCCTGGAGCCAGACTGTCTGGGTTCAAATCCGATCACCCACTTACCAGCTGTGTCATCCTGGGCGAGTGACTTCACCTCTCCACCTCTCAGTTTCCTCAAAGGTAAAATGGGGACGATGATAACAGCCCTACGTCAAAGGGCTGGGCTGAGACTGAATGAGAGAATCCATGTGGGACACTTAGAATACGTTCTTGCTGTAATTAATAAGAGTAACAGCCACTCAGCAACGTGGGAGTCCAGATGTGGAAACCCCGATTTAGAGGGGGAAGTGACTAACCAGAACACTCAGAACAAATCAGGGACAGAACAGGGATTAAAGCCTCTCTCCGTCCCCCTTTCTCCTCAAGGAAGTGGGCACAGGGATGGAACACAGTTCCAGTTCCGGGGTTAAGAACTGAGTCTGCTTTGTTCACTGCCATCTCCTGTGGATACAGCACATAGTAGATGCTCAATAAATAGAGGGAGCGAAGGAAGGAAGGAAGGGAGGAAAGAAGGAAAATAGCTGGAAAGGTACCAAAGCTGGTAGATCAAAAGGCTATTTTGTTTGCAGAGGTGGGGTGGGCTGAGGTGGAAGAAGGAACCCAGTGCCTGGGGAACTTCTGGGCAAGGAGAGCTTGTCCAAGTCCAGAAGGGCCATCCAGGACCCAATTTGTGGCAGCCCCATTGACAGCAGACATGGCCCCGAGCCTGGGGCCCAGTTTTACACCAGGAGCTATCCAGCTGCAGAGACAGGCCCAGCCTTCCATCTCTGCAGCACCCCAACTCCCTGACCCAGCTGCTGGAACCTCAGTCTGGGACTAGGTCCCAACCTTCTGCCTCCCACACACAATTCTCCCCTCTTTTCTCTCTCTAGACTCAGATCCAAAGCCAGGGCAGCCCACTGGGAAAGGA